GATGGTACCACACCCGCAGATAACGATTTCTGGAATATTAAATTAAGTTAAAGGTTGGCTAATAATATCCCTCATCTCTTTTAAGACTATAGGTAAGATGCCATCAGGGCCCTGCGATTTATTTATTTTAAGTTTAGCTAGGCTTAGTATCACATCATCCTGGCCATTACATCATCCCAAATCAATCCACATGTGTTACACCTGTGTAGCTCCCTGTTTAGGTCAGAGTCTCCTCCTTGTCTGGTGTTTGGTCTCCTGTGGTCCAGGTGCTGCCTTGTTCTCTGCATCTCAGGGTTTAAGCTCACACTGTTCTGCTAGCTGACCTGCTGCTTTGTCTCCTGTTGAGGACCCTGTCCCGTGTTTTGTTTCCTCCCTGTTATTTCAGTAAACTTCTACATTTGCACTTGCATAGAGCCTCCTGTGGAGTTCCTGCTCACTTCTCCTGTGCAAACTGTGACAATTAACTTTATCAGGAAGAAAAAGGTAGCGACAGGCACAGCTTAAGGTTAACTGTTAATATAAAAATGTGAATTTTTCTATCCTGGTTAAAGTGACCTCTTTTCAAATTTCTGTATTACCACAATGTATTCAATGTATTGCATAAGTATTAATATTTAAGAATATTTTAAATTCTGAACCTGTGGGTTATGTTTTTAAACATACTGAAGAATACTTACACTGTCAGAGAAAAGGAGTACCAATTTGTACCTTTGCTTGTCACTAGGGCTGTAGCCTCAAGTGTCTGCCAATTGTACCCTAGCTGTAGGTAAATGTACCTTGTAATACACAAAACTGAAGTATGAGTCCATTTCTGTACCTTAAATTAGACTAAAAGGTACATTTGCCTACAGCTAGGCTACAATTGGCAGGAGCTTGAGGCTACAGCCACAGTGACAAGCAAAGGTACAAATTGGCTCTATTTTTATTTTTTCTGGCAGTGTAATGTAGTCTGGAGTTGATTTTTAAAAAATAAAAACTATTTTCTAAAGGTCTGTTCTGGGTGTTTGATACTTTTATTGCAAATGCTGTAAAAAAAAAATCTCTTACTTGCTAGTTGAACTTCCTAGTTTAAATGATTTTAAATTTGTTTTTGACGAGCCACGTTTGACAATGTCTTTGTCCCGATGCTGTCCTGTAGTGTGACAGACTGCCAGAGGAGATCCGAGGTCACGTGTGCAGAGCTATTGAGGATTTTCAGGTGTGGTCCGGCCTAGTCAGGGGCTGTCATACTGTCAGAACAAAGGACACAGTCCTAGTACAGTTTTGTACACCAAGGTACAAATAACATTAATGTACCCCCAATGGTACAAAAATGTTCCTCAGAGTCCATTTCTGTACCTTAAAAGGTACACTTGCCTACAGTTAAGGTACAACTGCAGAGCCTTCAGGGAACAGCCCCAGTGACAATTATTGTACCCACAAATTTTTTCTGAGACTGCAGGAAGTCATTTGGGCTGGGGTGCTCTAACATTTGATTAGATCTCTTCAGTAATGCTAAGATGCTCCACACAGTATTTATTGAGACCCAGGTCTGCTCAGGTGCACATGACAGTCCACTCAGTACTGCCCGGC